TACCCACCAAATCCCACCCTAGTCTCCTGAATCCACAGAAATTATATGAGAGTTTGGAAAACTATTGCATGTATGGCTCAGGTCTTCTAGCCAGTAGTTCCAACTGCTGAAGAAACAAATATCTGTTTTGCTTTTTTAGGTGCTCTTCTCTGTGGCAATGGAAAATCAGCCAGTGGTATTCTGTATAAGTTGTTATGTGCTTTTATGCTCCTTTTATAGATCTCATAAAGTAGACTGGCTGGGCACGATAGGAATTTTAAAAAAGTGACTGGCCAAAATATCTATATTTAGAATGTCACATTTAATATTCGCAAGTGCATTTTAAGCAAATGACCATATGAGTTATGTATCATCTATATTGGTTCTTACACTAATTTAGATGCTACCAGTTTATAAGCCAGAATCCTTCTGGAGATTTACACTGGGAGAAACGTAACTGAGTAAACCATGTCAAGGAATTGGGCCTGATTATCAGGTTGCAGCGCTCATTTCTGGTTGTGTGCTAGATTACGTGACTGTCACACAATCATGAATTTGAGCAGCAACTTGCTAATAAGCAGTTATTTGCTGTCATGATTTATGCAATTACACTGAAGCTGGCATAAATCCCAACAGTCTTCTGCTTAAATAATATTTTTTTCTGGATAACAATTTCTTTTATTAAGATGCAATTAGGCTGCAACTGCTAATCTATTAAGGGCCAAGCTAGTAAGAAATCCATAATTGGGTCTCCTTTAGTTTTTTGAAAATACATAACTCTTAATATTGGCTTCTAGTAGTCTCACCTTGAACTGGAACTGTGATGCTCGGGAGAGCAGGGTTTATTTAACCCTTTCATGGCCCTTAATTAACAGTCTCTCCTTGAGTGTTGTAGCTAGCAAACAGAGTAAATAGCAGATTCTATGGAGGTGTAAGAATGTGCGTGTGTGTATGTATGTGTGTTTGCAAGGGCAAGAAATATTTTAATTGGAAAACCATCCCAGTGGAATTCCATGGTTCCCAAATAATGTCCCATCCTGCAACTGCTATTAAATAAACATATAAACTATGAATCTAGTTCATAGATCTCCCAATTTACTTCTAGTTTGGCCTCATAGTAGTGTAATAATTGGACTGTATTGGCTAACTGATCAATTATGAGAATAAACTGCCTTAAGAGTCCTTTAGGACAAAAGACATGGCCTAAATTGTCTTTTTTTAATCATTCATTTTAAATGGTGGGTGGGACCTTCTGATGTTCCCATTACATGGGCTGGCCAATACTGAAGTTTGGGATCTTTTGGATTCCAGAAAGGAAAATTAAAATCTCTGACACTGGGGAACTCCTAAGAGTTCACTGTATGTTCAATAATATCTAACAGATATGAATAACAGATATCATTGAACATATAGCAAATCCTTAGGAGTATCCCGATGTCAGAGAGAGAGATATATAAAATGCCAAAAGCTTTCCATGTGATGTCTCTTGCTTATTTTCCCGGTCTTTAATGGGTTAAAACCACACAATCAACAGCAGTTTAAATGCTATCACTACACAATACCTTAATAGCAAGGAAAAAAGCAGAGTTACTGTACACTACTGGATTTGGGATTAAACTGCAAAGCAGATACACACAAGAAGGAGGCTAAACTACTGGATTTGGGATTAAGCTTCAAAGCAGATACACACAAGAAGGAGGCTAACAGCTATTCATATACAAGAGGATATCACGACAGACATTTGGAAAAAGATGAACTCTCACAGATAATGCTACACAATCCGCTAGTCACATTATGTGGTTTGGATATCAATGACAGCCATGTGTTTGTGTGAATCCAATCTCACTGATTTAATTGGAATAGTCTAATGCTTAAATCTGCTGTTATGATCTACATTGTTGGAAAGATTGGATATGCCTCTATATGCTACTAATAGCAAATGAGAAGAAATTGACCACTATGATATGTTATACTACGTCATCTGGCCCAAACTTTGGAAATACTGTATGGATAAACTGTTTTACTTTTAGGTATGCAAGACTTGGAGTTGTCAGCTAGCATTCCTTCTTTTCTTCCCTGACTGCAAAGAGGAAGTGATTGGAACATTTTATTTCCATTTTCTATTAACTATAGTTTATTGTCACTGCGGAACCCTAAACTCTGGTTTACTCTAACTATGGTTTATTGAAACAAACTGGTTTCATAAACCAAGGTTTATTTCAATAATTCATATTTAAACTAATCACAGTTTGTCTTGGTTTGGGCATAATACTAAACTATAGCAAAAGTCTCAAAGCCTCTTCTTTGCATATTTATGAAAGGAACAGATGGGAAGAGAAAGCACATAAGTTGTGAAGCTTGCTCATGTTATGACAAACCATAGTTTACTGTTACATCTGAATGCAGACATAATTTTTACTATGGTGGCCAGACAAATATGAGGATCAAGTATCTTTACGTTAAATATCTACTACAGGTGCATGTTTAATGTAAATATGTACTATATATGTTTGCAATGATACACATACAAATGATATTTCTTACTTTTCACAGAAATTAATGTGTACATCGAAACACTATCATTTTGTTCCAACACCGCCCCAGTGTCATGGTTATAAACCTATATAGATTTATGGGTTCCAGTAGACTTTATTAACATGTTGTAACAATTTATGTTAAAAAGCTTTTGGCTTTTGCATAATTCAGTCCAAATGAGCAAGGTAAAACTCAAGCTTGATAAAAATGAATATTACGAATAGATTTAAAAGGGTAATAGCATCCAACAGCACCGAGTTTATGAGCAAGATTGTCATGATGTGCTACAAGAAGAACTCTTAAATAAATTGCTCTCTGTGAACTCAGAAGAGACGGTTTGCAGTGTGCCAACAAAAGAACATGGGCCTGATTATAGCTGTGGCCAGTGGGGAGAAGGATCCGCAAGGATCATTCAGGACTTTCAGTATTTTAAATAAGCCAGTTTCTATCCTATATAGTTCTTGAACCTGGACATCTGAGGGATAATAACAGCTTTGCATTTAAAAGGTTCCTAGGTTAATCCAGTTAAAAGGGTTTTAGGTTGGAGGACTAGCGGCAACAGATGCCTGAGATCGTGGAGCGTGACTGTCACTTCAAAAAAGGGCTGTGCTAGACAAGATGGACCCATGACACATCACAGTTGAACTGGAGCCAAGAGTTCCATCAGAGGCACTCAGGAGAGCTATGTATTCCCACCACTATCAGAAGCAGTTATTTGCCCCTGCTGGCAGTCAGCTATGAACCTTTTTAACAGTTTCAGGTAGACTTCATAGAGGGGATAAAACAACAGGAGTGGAAAACTTTACAATTAGAAGTAGAGTTGACTTTCATCCCTTCAGCTTTTCAAAGTTGGTTTAAAAAACCAAGGCACAAAGTCTGTCATTTCCTTATGATGACCGGGCAAAAGCAAGCTAAGTTATAACTTGTCAAGCAAAGGAAGACTTTAGAGAGTAATCATACATTGTTCCTGTTCAAGTACAGTGGTGCGTCACTTAACGAGGATAATCTGTTCCAGCAAACTCACTGTAGAACAAAATCCTCGTTAAACGAAATAAAAAAGCCCACTGAAACACACTGAACACCCTTCAATGCGTTCCAATGGGCTGAAAACTCCCCGTCCAGTGAAGATCCTCCATAGGGGCAGCCATTTTCGCTGCCTGTAAATTGAGGAATCCATCCTAGAAAACAGCAGGGGGCCATTTTGTACACCTGGTGGCCATTTTGAAACCTGACGATCAGCTGTTTTTAGATTGTCGTAATGCGAAAATCGGTTCCCGAAGCAGGGAACCGATCGTTGGGAAGTGAAAAAAGCCCATTGAATCATCGTTCTGCGATCCCTTTTTTTGCGATCGCAAAAACCTAATCATCAAGTGATTTCCTCATTAAGCGAGGCAATTGTTAAGCGAGGCACCACTGTAATGTTATCTGCCTCACAATGGCAAAGCTGCCAACCTCATCTGTTTTGGAACCCAGAAACCTGAATGCACTCAAGGACAACACCCCAACCCCATTTATGCCTAGATCCATGTTGTATTTGTTATCTCATGAGATCACTTTGACCATAGGGGCATGAAGGAAGTGTTACTTGCCTTGTCTTATTAAGAATATACAATTAAATTAAGTAGTATGGATTTAAACAAGGAGGGCACACACATTTTGCTGTTCCATGTTATTCTACGGTTCCCTGTTAGTTTAATATTGCCTGCACTCAATCCCACGATACTCCAAGGGTCTTCACACTACACTTGTTACGGTTATTGAACCAGTAGCAAGAAGACCTCAACAAATTAATTTCACAGAACAACATTCACTGAGCACAACATATGACAATTCTTAGAAGGCAAATATGGAGGAGAGAGCAGACGTCAAGTAACTGGGTGTTAACCATATGGGTGACAGATAAAAAGGTGAAGAGAAGCAAACAAAGACACAAGCGAAAAGATGGGAAAGCAAGTACAGTGCAGGATTTAAAAGGTTAGCTTGAATGGTGGCAGAAAGCTGAGATGTTTAAAATGCTGTTGCATGTGACTTTTCAAACAATACATTTTAGTTAGCGAAGGAGAACATAGAAGTGTTATATGCACCAAGAAGATGACCGTAAAATGAGATATGCAGCAAAAACACGGTAACCCTCCAAGCATTAATGACAAATGTAAAAACCTGATGCATTTTACAGTCTCAACATGGTGTATATAAGTTCTGGCAGCAGTGCATGAATGAATGAATGAATGGCTGGCATTGAAAGCCAATGCCTGGTTCACAACCTCTCTCGCCCCTTTTTTTCATTGTGGGAGGGTTTTGATTGCTAGCAAACAATTATAACTCGATGGAGCAAACTTAGCATTGTATGGGATGTCAAAAGAAAATTTTGGGGGAAAAAAATTTGAGGAAGAAACATATATGCACCATGGCATCAGCCAACGACCATAAAATGCAAGTAGGTGATGGAAGCATGATGTGAAAGAGGGAAAAAAACCAAAACAAACCTTGGAGAAATATCGCATCCTTGCTGCATAAAGGCACCCAAGGAAAACCAAAGGCTGTTAAATATTCCAAACTCATTTGGAGGGTCAGGAGGGTTCTGTGGGTCTCGTGGCTCTTCCTGATTGTCCTCCAAATGCCATTCGTAAGGGCTGAATCTGCTGACTAGAAAGAGGACCACACTGACTCCAATGTACGCAAACACTATACACATCCAAATCTCATAGGCCAAAGGATCCAGAAAGGAGAAGACACCAGGTTTTGATTTCTGGGGCTTCTTGATCATGATCGAGATGCCCAGGCTCATAAAGGGCTTGGAAAAGTCTATGACTTCCTCTCGGACCAAGGTTATTGTCAGCGGAGCCACAGCTATATCTGCTCTCTGAAAAGACAAAAAAAGAATTACAGAAAGGCATCTTAGTTATCTTTTGCTGTTGTTTAAATCTGTGAATCTCAGAGAGACATTCTACTCCTTTGCTTATTAAGGTAAAGGTAAAGGTTCCCCTTGACAATTTTTGTCCAGCTGTGTTCGACTCTAGGGGGCGGTGCTCATCCCCGTTTCCAAGCCATAGAGCCAGCGTTTTGTCCGAAGTCAATCTTCCACGGTCACATGGCCAGTGCGACTTAGACACGGAACGCTGTTACCTTCCCACCAAGGTGATACCTATTTATCTACTCGCATTTACATGCTTTCGAACCACTAGGTTGGCGGGAGCTGGGACAAGCGACGGGAGCTCACTCCGTTGCGTGGATTCGATCTTACGATTGCTGGTCTTCTGACCCTGCAGCACAGGCTTCTGCGGTTTAGCCCACAGCGCCACCACGTCCCTTTGCTTATTGGCTTTCAATATTTCAACCTCTGGGGAAATATTTTCCCCGGGCGGCTTGCTTTTGTAGGGTTGGAGTTCCGAAACATCCTAACCCTAACCCCTTCTGTAGAAAAGACAATTAACTTTCAACATCTCTCCAGAACCCTCGCTTCTTGCCAGGATTCCAATCTAAGTTCCAGAGTGCACGTTCATTTTGCGTGGTGTGTAAACCTGGCGTCTTGGGTTTCACCCACATGAACTTAAGTGAAGGTCCTCAAGACCAACTCCTGAACATGGTGGTGTGTCAGTGCAGTGGAGACTGATGGCTCCCATTTCAAGGGAGCAATGATTGTGTTCTGGGTTTTAGTGTGAAATTCACAAGACCTATTCAAGGCACTGAACTCCACCATTCCAACAGGTTAAGCGCTCATGGATTGCTCCTGCAAAATTCAGGCTAAAACCCAGAGCAGTGTCACTGCCCTGAGAAATTAGTCAATAGCTACTGCTTAAGGCATCATGCTAGCAGAAAACCCGCTTTCCTGTCTGAGCCAGTTGTGCATCATCACTTATATCCTCAATAAGGAGAGCTCCCAAGAAACATGAGGATTCTCCAGAACACACCTAGAAAAGCACTGGCTACCACAAATTATCAAATCACGATGCTTCTATTACCTCAGTCATTTTATACCTCAGCAATCCTTACATTACCTCACATATTTTAGGGATCCTCCTATTCTTCACGTGTATTACCTTAGCAATTCCATAAATCACAAAATTTCTTAAATTTCACATTTGCTACCTCAGTCATTTTCCCGCTACCCGACATGTCTATGGATCCCTTAATATGCTTCACATGCTACCTCAATGACCCTAGCATGATTTTGGAAATCCAGGATACCTTGAATTACTTTCCTGATATGCCATCACAAAATCCGATAAAGACCAGCACTGCCCTTCATACACCGTGACATGTATGGAAATCTTATTCTGAAACCTCACTAACATCAAAGATCCCAGCAGACATTCCTTAAAACCATTTTTGGAGATTATTTTTGGTGTCATAAGGATTAAATTCTCTTTTTAAAAAATTCAGGAGAGTGAATTCTTTAGTTAATACCACCTTCTTACATTTCTCTGCACTGCCACAGACCTTCCTGCCCCCTGCTTTTCTACTTCTTTTTAAAATGGGTGACATCCCATATTTTATTGTAATACAATTTTTTTTGACATGGCGTCAGTTTGGATATTGCTCGCTTCGGTTTGGTTGCAGTTTTGGATAAAGACCAACGGTAGAGTGAAAACTGAGAAACACAATGACATGTACCATCATTCAAAGCAGGAAGGGGCCCAAGGCACAGAGGCACCAAAATAGGATTAAAATGAGGTTATTCCTGAAGCTGACACAGATTTAATATTGAAACAATCATTCAAAAGGTGTCAAAAGAAGCAGGAAGTCACTAGGGAAGAAAAGACAACTCAAAATGAAAGGCGCTTATGAAACAAGGTTTTTAAGAATCAGGTTTTCTAGGTCTTTGGCATTTATTTAATGCTGTGAACAGGACCTGCTAGAGGGTCAGGATTGTGAGGGATGTGGCTTGGTTTCATTCCAATTGAGGCCACATCAAGGCAGGGTCTACCACTGAGCAGGGTAAGGTGACTGGCTGAATGTTGGGTGTCTTAAAATGGAAGTCACTTGCAATTTAATTTGTTTTACTGTTAAGTGAGAAGTGTTTATTGGATTTTCTGGCTCAAATATGAAAATAAATCTACCCATTGTTACATACAGCACTGATGTTACCTGTCTGTCATGGGTTTGGAGGGAAAGTTCCATCCTATGGGGAGTGGAAGGCGGGACATCAGGAGGAGGGGCTGTACTGTATATATATATGTGGAGCGTGTGTGGTGGAAGGGAGATGCTAAGAGACACTGGGGTGTGACGAAGCAGCAGCTGGGAAGAAGAAGCTGTTGTGGGAGTCTGAGTGTCAGACAGGGTACTACTGTGTGTCAGAGTACCAACCTGATAGGTTCAGGTGTCTGTTGGTTAGCCAGAACTGATAGGTTCAGGGTCTGTGCTTTAAGTTAAGGGTTCTGTGTGAACCAAACTGTATGCATGTGTGATTGAGAATAAGCCACGTTACTTTATCCTATTCACCTGATTGTTTATTTTTCCCTGTGTGTATTTAAAATAAACCTTATTCTTTTTATTGTTTGAAAAATCCATCCCTGGTCTGTGTGACTTCTTAAAAGGAATGGTTGGTGGCAGCTTAGTGTAACTGTGTGACATATCCCAGTAGGTCTGGGTTTGTCACACCCATATCAGGTAAAGTATATCACGTTTTGTGTCTCTGTGTCTGCCATTTGCTGTTTCACCTCAGGCGGTAAAAGCGTTGTGAGTGTCAGACCCTATAAACTCCCAGGTTTACAGATAGACTTGTTTGACCCAAGTGACATTTTTTTGCAACCTTCTTGCTGCACCTGGGAGAATTTCACATACCTTGGAAATAAATGGGAAGAGATTTTGGTCCACTTGAAAAGTAATGGGACAGATTCATTATGGTCTGTGCCACTCCCTCTCTCCCATTCGTTTTTTATTGCCCACCCACCCCAGAATAAAGAGGCGAGACAAGTGTTATGGATAAATTATGGGCCACACTTTGTTATTACCCAATATAATCAATGTCACCTGACGAAGAATTTGAGGGGCCTGCCATAGTGCAGAATCAGATTTGCATTTGGGGTCCAACCGCACCCTCAATCCATAAAACAGGCGAGTCCCAAGCCCCGAGGCTGCGTGGTCCTGAAGACAGCGGGACGCTGGCCGGCCCATATTTGAATTGCATCTCTACCTGTTGAATTGCATCTCTACCTGTTGGACTGGCATACAGACTAGTTCTGTGCACTGCACAGGGCAAGTCATATGTTTTGAAGTGAATTTCCTTAAGGGACCTGCTAAGTCCTTTGGTGCCAAAATATAAACAAAAGAAACCTTTTTTTTAACAAATTAAAAGTTAAAAAAAGAGAGAGTACCCTATATCCACTCCTGAAGGTCTCCTTGAGCAAAAACTGAGATTTATAAAGCAAATATACATACTTCTAAACCATTTTCCCCCCTTGGAAATATCTTCAGGGGCTGAATGTGGTCCAAACACCATGTTGCCTACACTTGGCCTAAGTCAGGATGACCAAAGCATTTAGTGAGTATTTTATACGTTCCTACCAACAAGTTAAAGGGTGAGTTGGCCGAAACAAACAGTAAAGCATAATTCATCTATGAATTTCATTGTTCAGAGGTGACGGCCTATATTGCAGAGACTTTTCAAACAAGACTATGGTGATGCCTATCAAGAGCCACCGGTTATGATACCATCTCAAAAGCAGCATGCCACTGACTCCAAGTTATTAGGGCAACACCCGCAGGGGACAGTGGGACGACTGGCATCAAATCCCGCTTGTGGACTTCCTGGGGATGTTTCTTCTAACAATGGAAGAAAAAGTCTGGTCTAATCCAGCAAGGCTCTTCTTATGATCCTAAGTAAGATAAATCTAGTCAATCATACAAATGCTGCTCATTCCTTCCTTCCGCAGAGAAGAGAAATGGCTTCTTCTGCCTTGAGCACATTCTTTCCCAGTGTGGTGCCTTTGAAATATACTGGCCTGCAATGGCCATCATGCCTCCTGGAAGTGCCAACGGCTGAGAGATAAGAGTCAGATATATCTAGATTCCCAGGGATGATTGTTTGAGTTGGCTAAATTTGCAATGTTCCTCTGGAAAAGAGTCTAACATTTCTGATGTCATTGTTTAGAAGGATGCACCCCGCTGTAGCTCTCTCACCGCTCAAGTCACATCAGGAGAAGGCACAGCAGGAATGTACATTGGCTAGACTGTCTCGCCTATTTTGTAGCAACTAACTTGTTTGCTGTGACAGTTAAGTACACAATGGACAAACAAAAGCTGAGATCATGAATTATGGAGCGCTTCAGCTCAGCCGTTGCTGGGGAAAAGTGGCTTCACAATAGCCTAAGCTTCCTTCAGATCTCACTCTCAGGCCCTGCTAGCGACAGCAGTCAAAATTAAATACCATGCATACAAAATGTGGCAATTGTTTTTTTCTGAGCAAGACCCATGGGGGTGGGCATCGGGAGAAACATGGCAGTCACCGCTCATGGCTTTTGCAATTGACTTTCTAAGCTCCAGGGAGAAAATAAAGATGTTCTGTAAATGAAAGACATAATGAGCAATTCCAGAGGCCGTCTCTTCTTCAAAATGCCCTACAATTTTTTCTCTTACTGGGCCTCCTATCCCATCCACACAGATGGCCGTGCATCTTTCCCTCCATCCCCTGCGAGAACAGAGAGACCACACAAGTAGGGCTACTTGGTTGTGGTGTATAATTCTGTTTGCAATTTTTGTGCATAATTCAGAACCAAGCTTCTAAGCAATTCGGCTCCTTTTGAAATAAGGAAGCAAACTTCCTAGCTTTTATGCATGTGAGGACAGTTCTGAAAAGATGTGCAGAAGTGCTTGTTTAAATCTCAGAGACCAGAGGCTGTTACATGAATTCCAGTAATCAGAGATGACCTTCAGTGATGATGCAAGGACAAGGAGGAAGAGAATGAATTATGCAAAACAAGCAAAAATACGCCTCCAAGCATAATTTTGGTCAAGGTTAAAGGGGCCACCTTTCCTCATCACGGGAAGTACACTGGCTTCTCTAATATTTGCTAGCTCCCCCCTCTCTCTGCCCCCGCCACCCCATCTTTATCAAAGCAAAAACCTGTGTCAGCAAATGCTCCTGACTTTGGGCTGCCTGAATGTGAGAAACAGTGGAGCGCTGATGATCCCGACATTTAAGGACACAAATTACCCATCTGTCAGCAGAACCCAGGGCATGGCACACCAATGGTGAAGTGATGTGGTGCAGAGGATGTAGCCTGCACGGAAGTAGAAATAGGAGGTACGCTTAACCCTTCTCCCACCTTCCTGTAGCTGCTTTCACACTTTGAAAAAAACCCTCCTCACCTGTTTCCCCTTGTATATACCCATTAACTGGAGAAGGGCCAGCTTTTGGGTTGCAGAAGCAAAAATATGGAGGAGATTTTTTTCATAAAAGTCACAAGCCCCTAATTTGAGCTGCTCATAACCTGACTGTCCTGCTTTAGTCTGTGGATGGAGTGTTGTTGTTTAGTCATGTTTTAGTCATGTCCAACTCTTCGTGACCCCATGGACCAGAGCACCCTAGCCCCCCCCCGTCCTCCACTGCCTCCCAGAGTTGTGTCAAATTCATATTGGTTGCTTTGATGACACTGACCATCCATCTCATCCTCTGTCATCCCCTTCTCCTCTTGCCTTCCCTCTTTCCCCAACATCAGGGTCTTTTCCAGTGAGCCTTCTTTTCTCATGAGATGGCCAAAGTATTGGAGCCTCAGCTTCAGGATCCGTCCTTCCAGTGAGCACTCGGGGTTGATTTCCTTCAGAATTGATAGGCTTGTTCTCCTTGCAGTCCAGGGGACTCTCAAGAATCTCCTCCAGCACCACAATTCAAAAGCATCAACTCTTTGGCGCTCAGCCTTCTTTATGGTCCAGCTCTCACTTCCATACCTCACTACTGGAAAAACCATAGATTTGGCTATGCAGACTTTTGTCAGCAAGATGATGTCTCTGCTTTTAAAGATGCTGCCGAGGTTTCTCAGCATCTTTTAATTTCGTGGCTGCTGTCGCCATCTGCAGTGATCATGGAGCCCAGGAAATTAAAATCTGTCACTGCCTCCATATCTTCCCCTTCTATTTGCTAGGAGGTGATGGGACCAGTGGCCATGATCTTAGTTTTTTTGATGTTGAGCTTCAGAGTGTTGTGCAATTAAATGCTCCATGACCTGGGAGCTCGGCTCTAGCCAAACCTAACCTCTCCTATCAATATAGTCTCAGCTTCTTATAGCAAATGCATCCAGTGGCGGTGAAGAATTTACCGTTGACTTCAACCTCTGTGCAGAACTGCAAGCCTTTTTTTTGGAGGAAACCTGGCTGTGTTCAGAATTTTCCCGTCTTCTTCTGGGATTGATACAGGCTCCCAAGGCTGCTGTTCCAATGTGTTGCACACAGTCCCAGAGGTGCTCCCTGAACACGGCTGCAATTCCCACCCTCACTTGGCAGAATATTGTTTCATTTTATACACACAAGGAGGCAGGAAACCCTCTGCTTTGAATGAGGAGGCTAAGGAAGGTTTCAGATGGCAAGCAAATAATCAAGGGGGAGGAGAAAGAGACTCTTCACAATGTGAGCGATTTTGGGGCGCAGTTGGGGAAACAGACAGGGAAGAAGTTACTCTTTTGGAAGACAACTCCCAGAATCCCTTAGCTAGGATGGAAGAAGAGGAAGGCAGGAAGTTGCATCATCTGGAGTTACGCTATTGGTCCATTTAGGCTTGGCTTATCAGTTCTGATCAGCTGTATGGGCTATCCAGGATTTTCAAGCAGGCTTATGTCCTAGCTCTACCTGGTGATACTAGGGGGTGAATGTGGATGGATACCTCTGCAGTCCAGCTAGGTGGTCCTTTTTGCCTACAAACTGGAGATGCTTTGGGAGTTGTAGCCCCCCCCCCAATGCATGGATAGTTCTCTCACTTTTTGTGCCAGCTCCTTTACCACTTGCTTTTACGACAGCCAAAGTATTGTCACAAATATCATCTACATGACAACGAGAACTCATAAGAACAAAAAGGAGTAAGCTTTGTGTCAAAGAATTAATTTGGTGAATATGGCAGCATGATATCAGTGATGTACTATTGTAATACTCATGGCTGCCCCAAAGGAACTGGAGTGAGCATCTGTCTGTCTGTAAGAAAGAAAGAATGCCACCACAATAATCCAATTTCATGCAGAAGGGGTTGGTCCAATATTTTAGTCCAGATTTTAAAGGAGCTAATCAAATTTTGAACTCTATCTTCACAGTAAGTTCAGGATCTTGGATACGCCTCCTGAAAGTTCAGACTAGAGATGGGCACAAATAAAAAAAAGGTCACTCATTTCGATTCATGATTCATCAAGGTGAACAAATCATGAATTATGAACTTACATATCTTTTTCTGGCGAATTGATGGATCAATTTATCATTTTTTTACCCTATAAAACTTACATACCTTTTTCTGGCAAATTGATGAATCAATTTATCATTTTTTTACCCTATAAAATGGCTCTCCAAGCACCTAGAGACACCAAATTCACAGGGAAGCATCGCCTGACGCTCTCTACAATCCCAGCAAGTGCGATGAAGTTTGGATTTTAGACATTCGAGTTATACATGCACAAGGATCCCCCCCCAGGAAAGTTCCCCCCAAGCACCTAAAAACACCAAAATCAGAGAGAAGCTTCTCCTGACTCTCTTCTACAATCCCTTCAAGGTTGTTGAAATCTGGGTTTCAGATATCCAAGTTATATACCCCCAGAAAAGTGCCAGTTAGCAGCTGGCTTGGTGAAACCTAATATTCACCAAATTTTGAGAGATTGTAGAGGGGAGTCAGTAGAAGCTTCTCTGTAATTTTGGTGACTCTGGATGCCTGGGGGAAACTTTCCTGGGGCGACCCTCTTCATGGGTGTTTCAATCAATAGTTTATTTACAGTCCTTAAACTTGGAGAGATTCTAGAGGAGAGGGGAACCTTTCCTGAAACTTCTATGACTCTAGGTTCCTGGGGTGGCATTTTATAGCCAAACAAATAGACAAATGTAAAAATCAGTAAAATTAATGGATTCGTATTTGTCAGGGGCATTGATTTGTTTGAATACGAACTGATGAATTAGTGATTTGTGAATGAATTTGGTGATTTGTTTTTTTTTTAAATTGTGTCCATCTCTAGTTCAGACTAAAACCTGCAGTGGTTTTGCCATCATCACCACTCCTGCCCCAGTGAAATCAGAGTCCCCAGTCTCCACTGCTGTGGGGTCTCTTAAGCTTGCCGTCAATGGCACTTAGAGGGCCAGAATGTCTCAGTCCTGCTCTGGCTGCCTGACTTAGTTTGGTCACTTTTTTTTCATATGAACGAAACCGAAAGGTATGCATGAACTTACCCCATAGACCAGCTCACCCACCATGCCGTTCCACATTTTAGTATCAGGGTCCTTTGCACCATATTTCCCATCGGGAACGATGGAGAGCACGTATTTGATCCCAACATGCTTAGCGATTTCGTGGGCTAGGTCAACACAGTAGCCTTCGTATTTCTCATTCCCTTCTTTCTGATCAGGGCTCTGCTTGCGCATCACGTACGGCGCTTCCTGTGATATGTCACGGGATGAGAATAAAAGGAATCAAAAGTCTTTCCCCTCCAGTTTGACAAAGAACCATCTTTTTAAAATGTTCTAAATTGCAAGATGTGGGTGGAGATCTTGGACAGGAAAGCGCCCAACCCCAGGCACATCCCTCTATGAACCCTCTACCAATAAAACTTAATACTTAGCTAAATAAATATTACAGGGGTGCTTTCTATACAAGGTAAACGAACACATATGGGCTGTTTGGTTTATGGAGAGAACAACAAAGCAAGAGGTTTATAAACAAAGCTGGAGGTTTATCAAGTTATGTATGACATGGAAGGAAAAAACCAGTTTTTCTTTAAAAAAATAGTTAATTACAAATGGCCGCAGAACTTACAAGTATAGTGGTTACCACGATGGTCCTGTTCTCCACAGAGGAGGTGTCATTGGAGACACTCGGATCTATTGCCGGGACAAATCTCTCATATTCATTCCAGTAACCAGCCTGTAATTAAAGAGAACACGGCCAAATTAAATATTGATACCTTGTTAAAACAGTTCACTGCCCATTCAAGCGAGCCAGTGAGCAGTTCTGGGGATAATGACAATTCTGCCAATTGACTGAGCTGTTTTGCATAATGGTGTAATCAGCCTAGAAAAAGGGACCAGGCTGTATTGCTACACCCAGGATGTCCAAACCAGCATAGCCACTCACCATGCTCCTCCAACAAACACATTTCTGAACTTTTTGAAACCAGTCGGGGTGCTCTGGCAGGAGAACATTTCTAGATGTCAGTTCTTTGATGTGGGAAGGGGCATATATTTCTTTCACACATTCATTCTCCCTCTCCATCTCTCATTATCACATAACCCTTCAGTTGCTGGGCTATTGTTGGCCACCTAGTGTTTAATACAAGCCCTTGGACATCCCAGACAGAAGGCTATCTGCTCCCCACTAAAATATCATTAGGGGAATATCTGTTCAGAGATATCTTGACCAGTCTCCAATTCAATATTTGCCCATGTGGACCTCCTGTGGAAGCTATCATGATCATCGGATGAGATGCCAGTTGTGCGTCTGGTTGTAAATAACCAGAACCTTCCCATGTCAGATTCTACATTTGGGGCTCTGCACGTATGTAAATATATGAACAAAACGCCAGCCTCAAAAAATATTTCCTCCATACATTACAAATCTCTAGGTTCCAGGAAAAAAACCCCAAAATGACTCTATTACCATTTGCTTGCACCAGTTCTTCCCAACCTCTGGCTATCCAGATGTTTTAAACCTCAACTCCCTTCCACACCAAACTGCATCTCCTGATATTTCTGTCATTGTCATTCAATGGCTCCATCTTTTCCTTCATTAACTCTGGGCAGCAAAAGAACCAGCTTGTAAAAGTGCGTACACATTTATCCAGTTTGGACTTACCTTCCGTGGCCCGCCAGTTCTCATTTCGTACACATCGATTGTGTAATTAGTCCTACGTCCATAGGTGTCAAATTGGATATTTCCTGTCATTCCTTGCACTTGAACCTTAACAATTATAAATGGCAACATACTGATAGAGAAAGGAATAAGAGATAATACATCTACAGATTTTGAATTTCTTTTTTGGATCCAATGGAAACAGTTTCATTCCAGCACTTGATCTTTCCAGCTTGTTTCTCCTGTAGTGGTATCACCATGTCATAGTAGGATCATAGAATAATTGAGTTGGAAGGGGCCTGTGAGGCCATTATGTCCAACCTCCCTGCTCAATGCAGGAATCCAAATCAAAGCAGATCAGCATTGGAGTCTTCACTACTTCCCATACTAATTGTTTCCTTTGTCATACAGTTTTAGCAGTTAAGAGGTTTTTCTTGATAATCAGCCTAAATCTGGCTTCCTGTAGTTTGAGTACCTCTTTCAATGGCCACATTTCCCTTGTTTTTCAACAACCCCATCAAAACAAATGGAAACAAGTAAGGTCTGCCCTAAAAGCAGTAAGCTATAATGCTGAGCAGTCTCCTTTATTGTTTCATGTACTTCCAGCCAGGCTGTGGTCACTGGCTGTTCTTTTATACAGAGTCAAACTATGACTCCTTCCTGTAGTTTGAGTACCTCTTTCAATGGCCACATTTCCCTTGTTTTTCAACAACCCCATCAAAACAAATGGAAACAAGTAAGGTCTGCCCTAAAAGCAGTAAGCTATAATGCTGAGCAGTCTCCTTTATTGTTTCATGTACTTCCAGCCAGGCTGTGGTCACTGGCTGTTCTTTTATACAGAGTCAAACTATGACTCCATCTAAGTCAGAAGTGTCTGCCCTAAAAGCAGTAAGCTATAATGTTGAGCAGTCTCCTTTGTTGTGTCATGTACTTCCAGCCACGCTGTGGTCACTGGCTGCTCTTTTATACAGAGTCAAACTATGACTCCATCTAAGTCAATACTGGCTTGATACCATCATCTGGTAGTTTCCCTGTTTTCCCACCATCATCGTTTCCATTTTAAAGTGATGAAATGCCTCTGAGAAGATTTTGTTACCAGTGGTAACTACTTTAAGCTAAAGTACATGGGCATTTTTAGTCTCAACCTCTTCCCAACACCCTAATCTGTACATCTCATCTTCACAATCTACAGTGGTGCCCCGCATAGCGACATTAAACCGTTCCGAAATAATTGTCGCTATCCGGAAACATCGCTATAAAATAATCGTCACTATCCGGAAACATCACTATACGGATAGGAAAACTCCACAGGAACGCATTAAACTCCGTTTAATGAATTCATATGGGGCGAAAACTCACCATTGAGCGAAGATCCTCCATAGTGCCGCCATTTTCACCACCTCGGTAAGCGATGGCAGTGCGTGAAAATGCGTGCGGTGGCCATTTTGGTTACCTGGCAGCCATTTTGGAACCGCTGATCAGCTGTTCTAAAAACATTGCAATGCGAAGATCGGTAAGGGAAATGCTTACTGATCAGCGCAATGCGATGTTTTCCCTATCTAAACATCGCAATGCGATCGCATTAGCGATCACAAAAAAAATAGATTGCCATGCGGATTCGTCATTAAATGGTGCGCTTGTTATGTGAGGCACCACTGTATATACTGAGCTACCCTAAGACTACAGAGCATTATAGCAGCTTTGATCCTTACCATTTCTCGTTATGCGAGGCACCACTGTATATACTGAGCTACCCTAAGACTACAGAGCATTATAGCAGCTTTGATCCTTACCATTTTCAAAGCTCTTTCAATATCTATTCCTTGACTCCAAGGCACAGCTGGGTTTGCTAAGCAATCTCCAGCACTACCTCTTCGGGAGACGTCGACACGCTGCCTCCGAAGGTACCGAAAAGCTTCAGCGATGACTAGTATGGCATCATGGGTCAACGCAGATGTATACTAAAGAAAAGACAAAACAGAGAGTTTTTGAAACGCTGTATTCTGGGACCTGCATCAGAGCCAGTGATATTCTAGCTGGTTTTTTTTAAAACCAGGTGTGTATAGTCACCATTAGTGAGACACTAGACTTGTTCTGTCACCACTCTGAAATTCTGGAATGCCACACTCAGCAGGAGGTCCATATGCCTCTTTCATCCCTATCATCTTTCTGGAGGACCTCTCATTTCTATTATGCTTTTAGAAGTTGCGTCTGCAAAAAATGCTTCCTCTCCCATTTTATACCGCTGATTTCCTTAGTCATACCGTTGCCCACCCAGTCCAGAATAACAAGACAGACACAGATATATGAATAACTAGGGCCACAACTTTATTAACTTATTTATAACCCAAACATTCCCTTTTTACAAGGGGGCCTACCATACTGCATCAAACTGGTCTGTAACTGGACTCAACCTTGACCTTCCGGTCTAGACCACCAATCAAGTTCCTACAATGAAAGCATGCCGTCTTACCGTACAGCATGCTTCCGTGTATCCCATAGCTGTGGTCCCCTAGCTTTGCCCCATCTGGGTCTACAAACTCTAGCTGCTCCTCATCCTCTGGGGACATGTATCCCATAGCTGTGGTCCCATAAATTTGCCCCATCTGGGTCTCCAAACTCTAGCTGCTCCTCATCCTCTGGGGTCCCTAGCTTCCCATCCTCTCAACTAGACCTCTGCTGCTGCCCTTCTGAGAGGAGGCCGCTTAGCACTCTCTAGGTGCCTTCTTCGGGACGGATCTAACCGTTATTCTTTGGCACTACCTGCTGTTGTAACCTATTTATTGGGTTGATGTTTTAAACAGCCTCTGAACCACCCTCGCTGGTAAGAATGGGATGAGTGCTAAAACACTCGCGCTCAGGGGAAATTTGAGTGCCAGTCAAAACTTCCCATCCGGCCCCGAAGCGACCAGGTAATCTCACTCTTACCATACCAGCCAAGAAGGAAGGGTGAGGCAAGGCTGGGCGGCCATCTTCAAGGCTTCGCTCTCACCCAGACCCTCACCCGATGTGACACAGCCATGGCTCCATCTGTCTCCTCTGTCCAGGCGAGCAAAGGAGCCCCGCCCCGGCAGCTTCGCACCTTGCAGAGAGGCACTTGTGGGATTCCTATGACTGTTTTGTGCATAGGGCCATCAGCATGAGTTGTTCCAATGCAAGGCTGGGACACCTCTGTCCCTCTGGCCTCCAAGGCCCATTGGCCCCAGCCAGCCCAGGCAAGGCTGAAGAAACATCCAGATGGCCACAGAGTCTCAGTCCTCTGACCTAACAGAGTAACTGGTCAAAGCTTAGCAACCAACAAAGGAGACGGGCACACAAGTGGGGAGTGTTTGGGGAATTTTATGTATGTGCATGTGTCTGGTCTCTGGGTGTCTGTGAATTTCATTGTATGGGTATACTGTGTATATACTTACAATGACAATAAACAAACAAACAAACAAACAAACAAATAGCTCAGTGTGATGTTCTGACAGACATCAGTTGTCAAATAGAAGTAGGCAGAGGGTATATCAGAATCTAGAAATAAAGTTGTGGAGGTTTTGCGGTAGATCACAACAACAGTTTCTGATTTCAAACAAGATAAGGAATGTAAACCTTTGATTATTTCACTCTTTCAGAAAGAAACATTTAAATGTTTTTTTTTGCACACAAGAAAACTTGTATTTTGTACAAAATCTTTTATTTATATGCATATAACATAGCATTTTGCAGTTAAAAATGTTTGATTTTTGTACAAAATGCATGCTTCTCAAATACAAGCTTTTGCACAAAAATCTGTTGCTAATGCGGCTGCTGACAAAAAAAGAGGGTTTTGGTTTTGTTCTTCAGCAAAAAAAATCCCCTTTGAATAAATGGAATAAATGGTTGAGTCCTACACGTGTTTTTCACGTTGAAACATTCTTTGCTGTTGAAGATAAGCAAATCTGGAAATATTCATCACATTCTTAAAGTTAGCTAACAAGGAAAACAACCAAATATCTTCCCACCCTCCAAATTAAGTTGCTAAAAAAGAATATAGGGTAGCAACGATGGTGTTGGTTATATATATATATATATAAATCCCTATTTATTGTGGGAGAGGAGAAAAATGTACACATTTCATTCTGATGTGAATTGCAAATCCCGGAGAAGGCCGTGTAAGCCAAGACATTCTGCTTCTTAATTCAACCTAGCTCTGTTAAGAGGACCTCAGGATGCTAATAAAAAGCCAGTCGATCCTACAATAATGGGGTATACTGTTCGGGGTACCATTGCAAAACTCCCATGGCTAAATCCGACTGTTAGTTTTAACTAGTGTATATTCATTAAATCAACTGCACTTATGTCTGTATTGACTTAACAAGTTTGATCCAATCAATGGGTCTATACTGCTTGATTTAACCCGCTGTGTATGGAGAATATTTTGACGATATGAAATTTGTCTCTTGTGCACACCTATGCATATATATTTATAAACAAACTGACATAAGCTTCACTAAATCATTTTAAAATACATAATGCTTTCTGTTCCTTCCATTTGTAGTTTTCTTTGTCATACAGCACGCTAGACGATACAGACTATCTGATGTTAAAAGCACAGCAGCCTTGAATTATGTCTCTCTGGACTGTATTTCCTATTAACTCAAATACATAGCCAGCAATAAATCTGTTTATATATATATATTTCCTTTACAAAAAGAAACAACACAAAACAAAATCCTTTTCCCCGCTTTCTCATGTGGTGCAATATTACAGTTCTTATTGAGGTTATAAATCTGATAAACGTTCCTGTTCAAAGAAAGGGTAACATCTGCAAATGTTTTTTTTTTTAAAAACCATGAATGATATTTATTTCAGAATATGGGACAGTGTTTTTTTGCAGCTAGACATTTGCTTATCTTCTGTACAAATTCTATGTGTGTGCTTTTTTTTCCTTTTGCAGTCTATATCCTGATCCTTACAGAAGTTTAAAACAAACAGGATTTTCATATTTAACAAAAATAGATACCAAGATTGGCCATAATCCATTTATCAAATGGATGTGTGTGTGCGCGCAAACAGCATCTTTTGCAGAAAAATGTCTTGGCTTAGCCTTCATTCTTATTTTCTTCCTGACTAGCTCTTTGCCTACTTTCTGAGCAACTTTAATGCAATTCCTTCCAACTCATGCCAGGAGACAAATCTAATTTTCTGTTTTATTCATATTTTACTAACAAATGCACAAGCATGCGAAGAAAGCCAGAAAGGGAAAAAGGAAAAAAAGTTGATGAAATACTGAATAAATTAAAACACCAGGGCTTTAATTTCTAGCCAGTTTTATGTCCTAATGAAAAATGTGGTACATCAGTTTTAATTTTTTAAATTAGAAGTTTGACTTTTTGGGTTAAAAACTACAGAAATTTTACAAAGGAGGAGCACATCTGTGCTAAATATTAGTGTAATTCCTGAGTAGTATCCAACATTAATGTACGGTGACAATTAGAGCAGCACTATTTTTCCTGCAGAAATTATTTAAAAACGAGCGAACAAACCTTAGCCCTAAAATAAACTCCAAATACATGTCAGTGCTTTTATCTATGGTAGAATTCAGTCACAGCTGGAAGTAGAGAAGTTGATTTACACCAGTCCCTGCTCGACAGGGTTAACCTCCCCACCAAAAGCCCTTGAGGAGAACTGCCCACTTTTATAGTGGAACCAGACCGTGGTGATCAGCGCACTGGGATTTTTTGACTAGCAGAAACAATGACATCATCAATGACACCCTTCTTGGGCTTTCTGTCTCTTCTGATCTTAATTGCAGTACTCTCAATGGTGGGTGGGTGTGAGATTTTTCTCAGCGACAATATATTGTGGTGAGCTATCCTTATTACACTGCAAAGTACTGGAGAGTGGGCAATTTCCCATAGCACCGAATGGGCAATTAAAACTCCTTAGCTTTATAAAAGGCCTGCTTCTGATGGAGACGAAAACTGTAAGAAATGTTTTGTTGATTTGGACCAACACAGCCATCTGAACTTTGGGGCTCTTGTTTTGGCCATGGCTGTGGATTTTGCAATGATGAACACACATACTTCAACCTGTACCATACTTGCCTCCATTGTTGGATTTTCCTTGTGATCTGTGTGGCTATGGGGTCTATGATGATAGCACCAACACCTTGCCGCTACACTACCACCTAGAAAATCCAGGAATCGGTCAGGTGACCTGGACCAGTATGTGTTGGAATTTATGTACAAATCCCACTTGGACATTAAGCGACCTGGAAATATGCCTACAGGGAAAGCATGCTTCTATGCTTCACCATGTGCAAGAGAGTGTTCTTGACTTCTTCGATGTAATAAACTAGATCCCCTCTATTACAGCCACAGAAATATCAGAGCCAAGTTAATCCATCCATGCTTACTATAGCCTTGTGCAGATATTCAGTCATCTACTTCAAGAACACCCCTGAAGATGAGATTGTTCTACCCCTACACTTTCCATCATTGTTGTCCTCATGTGGAAGATGTCATTGTAAAGAAGAGAATGTCCTCTACGTATGGGCACTTGTCATGTGACCAAGAACTCTGTGTTTTCAGGTAGAGTCTCCCCCTTTCTTTCCTACCTCAGCATTGTCTACTAAGCCCTATCCAGAATTTCGAACAGGACTCCTCTCCCTGGACATCCAGGAACTGGACTGGCAATGCTCTCCAGACAAAGGATGTGCTTTACTATTAAAACATAGGTGAAAATCCCGCTGCTGCTGATTAAATACTCTCTTTCTCAATTTAGGGTGCACACAGCTCAAATACAACGTGACAAAGTTGTATGGACCTGAAAATCGAGAAAGGAAGTTTTTAATCAGTGGCAAGCTGACCCAATGATGATATCACTCCTTTTACACAGGAGGAACCCACTCAACAGAACTGCAGCCACAGTGTTGGAATATCCAGGGCTCAGAAAGCTATACTTTCATGAAATCCCTGTCCCAGTTCTGCCACTCGTCTACAGCACTTACCTTTAGAGGAGAATTTTTGGCTTCTGGGAATTCTCGTTCATCAAGTCTCACCCAACGCTGCATGAACTGCTGAACCATCGGGTTTTCATTATTAATAATCTGAAATCCAGTTACGTTGGCACCTCCTTGCACCACTTTATCCACTGAAATGTCTGTAAAACCCTGGGAAAAGAAGGCAAATGATTTTTCCTCTTGCTGGTCAAGGAGCATCCAAACACATACTCTCCACCCCGAAGTGAACAGGACACTCTATAGTATATATTTTAACTCTTTTAACTGATTGGTGTGGTCATCACTTGGTTCAGACTTTCAAATAGGAAAATACATTGGTGCCTCGACATACCTACTTACGACCATTTTGAGTTGCGACCAGCTCTGGCCACAAAATTTTGCTTCGACTTGCGGCCGGAGCTTCCATTTATGAACAGAAAAAGGCAGGGAAAAAAGGTGGGAAATTCAAATTTCTAACTGTACGTGGCGACGAGGCTGCTTCTTTGTAGCTCTTTTGCCCCAGCAGTTAGAGAGTGTGCGATCGGAGGAGGCTTGGGACTGCCTGGCTTCTGCTTCTGAGTGAGCGTGTGTGTGTTTGCAGGGAGGCTTCAGGCTAAGGTAAGGTGCTGTTTTCTGCTTTTTAAAAACGGTTCTGGGTGTTTTTGCAGCATGGTTTTGGACTGGGGGGGTTATGTTTCTGTGCTTTGATGGGTCTTGGGTGGTTTCTTTGTTTTTTGGTTCTCCCCATTTCCAATGGGTCTTGGGGGGTTTGGTTGCTTTTTGGATTCCCCCCCATTTCTGATAGGTTTTGCATGCTTCCCTTGCTTTTTCCTTTGTTCTCTTTGCATTTC